TATATCCACACAATGGAATACTACGCAGCATTGAAAAACAAGGAACTCATAAATTATTACACACGTGGATGACCCTGGAGGACATTATGCTGAGTGAAATATCTCAGTCACAAAGGGACAAATACTGCATGGTGCCACTGTTGTAGAATGGGTCTGACATCAGGGTGGGGGTATGATGGAAAAAAACTGGATAAATTATGTATATTGTATTGAAACAGATGAGGGAAAGAACAGATTATAATTGATATATGATTGCGTATTAGGGTTAGCACAGGAATCCAGAATTAAGGTTGCATAAAGAAGTGTACTTGGGGTGGGGGGTGGGGGGAAGGGACATGGGAATTGTATACTAATGAAGGAATTTTTTTTCTTTTTCTCTCTTCAGAGGCGGAAGCGAGCTGGTGGGGAGGGGTGGGCAGGGAGAAAATGGCGGCAATGAATGAATGGAAATCCAAAACCTCTGTAAAAAAATTTTTTTTTAAAAAAAGGAAACCAGATTTCTCCTTGTAGCCTAGGATTTTGAAACTCCGTCTCACATACTTTGGGCACACAGCCAGGAAGTACTGATCCTTGGAGAAGGACATCATGCTCAGAAGGGTGGAAGGATGGCATAGGAGAGGAAGACCCTGGATGAGATGATGGATTGATACATTAACTGGGGCAATGGGGGTTGGTGTGTTGGACTCTGTGAGACTGGCTCAGGACATGGAAGGCTTCATAGCTGCTGTACATAGTGTTGCTATGGTTCACAGGCGATTCGATAACACAGAAAAACAACAACAAGAAGAATGACATATCTGATAATGAACTCACATATAAAATTTATAGAATACTTTCACACCTCAACAAGAAAAAGGTAAACAAGCCAAACAAGCCAATCACAGAATGGGAACAGGATATCAATAGACATTTCACCAAAGACAACATTCAGATGGCAAACAAACACATGAAGATGTGTTTAAAATCGCTTTCAGATATATGTAAATCAAAACAACTATGTGATTTCATCTCACCCCAGTTGTTGCTGTTGTTAGGTGTCACTGAGTCGAATATCCTATGAACAAAAGATTTGAAAGCAGTTCTATCCTGTGCCATCCTCACACTTCCTGATACACAAGAGCCCATTGCAGCAGTCACCTTGTCAATCCACCTGGTTGAGAGTCTTCCTTTCCTTCACCAACCCTCCACTCTTCCCGACATCATGTCCTTCTCCAAGCAACAGCACCTCCTAGCAATATGTCCAAAGTATGTGAGGCATCATTCTTATTTACAAAGAGCACTGTGGCTGCAAGACATATCTATTAGTTTTCTTGGCCGTCCATGGAATGTTCAGTGCTCTTCTCCAACACCACAACTCAAAGGCATCATTTCTTTTTTCTGTCATGCCTATTCATTGGCCAGGTCTCAGATGAATAGCTAGTAATAGGAAAGACCATGCCCTGAATCAGACGCACCTTAGTCATCAAACTGGTATCACTACTCTAAAATAATTTGGAAAGTTCCCTAATTGCAGATTTTCCCACTGCAATGTGTCTCCTTATTTCCTGACTGCTGGTGCCACAGGTGTTAACAGAAGATCCAAGCAAGATGAAGTTGTTGACAGTTTCAATCCCCATCATGACACTGCCTATTGGTCCAGTGGTAAGAATCTTTGTGTTCTTGATACTGAGATGCAATCCATACTGACGGCTGCATTCCCTGATCTTCTGCAACAAGCACTTCAAATGTTCCTTACTTTCAGCAAGTAAGGCTGTATCATCTGAGTAATACAGGTTATTGATGAGTCTCCCTTCAATCCTGATATCACACTCCTCTTCATAGAGTCCAGCCTCTTAGATAATTTGCTCAGCACATAGATTCAACAGATATGGAGATAAAATACATCCCTAATGCACTCCCTTCCCAATTCCAAACCATGCAGTGCTCCCCTGCTCCGTTTGCACAACAGCTTCCTGGTCCAGGTGTAGATTTCTCATGAGAACAACTCAAGTGCTCTGGAATTACCATTCTTCTCAATGTCTGCCACAACTTGTCATGATCCAGACCAGTCAAATGCCTTTGCATAGTCAAGAAAACACAAACCGACAATCTTTTGATATTCCTTACTTTCAGCCAATATCCATCTGACATCAGCAGTGATATCCCTGGTGCCACGATCTCTTCCAAATTCCTCTTGAACTTCTGGAAATTCCCTATCTATATACTGTCCCAGCCATTTTTAAGTGATCTTCAGCAGTAGTTTGCTTGCATGTGACATCAATGATATTGTTCAATAATTTCCACATTCATTTGGGTAATTCTTCTTGGGAATAGTAACAAATATAGACCTCTTCCAATCCATTGGCCAGACAGCCGTCCTTCTAATATCCTGGCATAGACTGGTGAGTGCATCCAGCGCTGCATCTGCTAATTGACACAGGTCAATTGGTATCCCATCGATTCCTGCGACCTTTTTTTTTTTTTGGCTAATGACATCAATACAATTTCCACTTCCTCTTTCATTACCATAGGCTCCTGTTCATATTGTACTTCCTGAAATTTTTCAGTGTCAATTAATTCTTGCTAGTACAGTGACTCTGCGTATTTCCTTCATCTTCTTTTGATGCTTTCTGGGTCATTCAATATATTGTCCATAGCATCTTTCAACATTGCGACACAAGGCCTAAATTAGTTTTTCAGTTCTTTCAGCTTGAGAAATGCAGAGTTAGTTCTTCCCTTTTTATTCTCCAATTCCCGCTCTCTGCACATTCCAGTATAATACTTTGCTTTGTCCTCCCGAGCTGCCATTTGAAATTATCTGTTCAGGTCTTTTACTTCAACATACTTTCCTTTAGATTTGACTTCCTGATGCTCCAGTGCAATCTTTGGAGTCTCTTCTGACATCCATTTCCATTTTTCTTTCTCCTCTGTTTTTGTAATGACCTTTTGTTTTCTTCATGGATGATATCCTTGCTATCATCCCACAACTCATCTGGTCTTCTATCATTGGTGTTCAATGCCTCAAACCTATTCTTAAGATGATCATGAAATTCTGATGGAATTGATTCAAGATCCTATCTTGGTTCCTGTGGACGTAGTTTAATCTTTGTCGGCCTCAATTTGAACTTGCATATGAGTAATTGATTATATGACCCACAGTCTGCCTCTGGCCTAGTTTTGTAATAGCAAAATTCAACAGAGCAGTAAACAACAAATAATGGCAAGGATGTGGAGAGAATGGAACACTTATTTACTGCTGGTGGGAGTATAAAATGGTGCAATCCCTATGGATGGTGGTTCCATGCTTTTTCAAAAAGTTGGAAATAGAAATACCATTTGACACAGCAATTCCACTACTGGGGATATACCCTAAAGAAATCAGAGCTGCCACCCAAACAGATGTATGCTCACCCATGTTTATTGCTGTGCTATTCACAATAGCAAAGAGATGGAAGCAACTCAACTGCCCATCAACAAATGAATGGATAGAAAAACTATGGTATATTCTCACAATGGAATACTATGGAGCACTGAAAACAAGGAACTCATAAATTATTACACACCATGGTGAACGCGGAGCACATTATGCTGAGTGCAGTATCTCAGTTACAAATGGATAAATACTGTATAACACCACTGTTATAAAACAGGAATGACATAGGTGTTGGGGGAAAACAAAGAAAGAGGGGATAAATAATGAACACTGCATTGGAACAGATGAAGGAAAGAACTGTTTAAAAGGAATGTATGATTAAGCATTATTTGTATGACAACAGAGCAGAATAAGAGGTGCACAGCAAAGAGGAGTGGGGGAGGGGAGAAGGAGGTAATTATGCAACAGTGAATTTTTTTTTTAAGTGAACTGGGGCGAGTAGGAAGGAAAATGTGCAACAATGAACAAATGAAATCCAAGTTTTCTGTAAACTTTCATTAAAATCATTAATTTTTTTTAAAAGAAGATTCAATCCTTGTCTCAATTTTCTCATAGTGGTGGGCAGCTGAACATCATCTTTTTCCAGTTTCACAATCATAAAGAAGAATACCAAACTTTCTTGATTTTTAAAAATTCCTTCAAATTACCTCTATCCTGACCCTTTCTATGTGGGTATCACGTAATAGAACTCTGGTGATACAACAGAGATAAGAGATAATTATTCTACTGTGAAAGCAAGGGAAATAGAAGAACTCAAAGTGTAAATGTACATACATTGTATGAAACATTATCTAACTTGAAACAGAGAAAACAGTACTTTTGGCAATTTAGAATCACTGTGGTAGTATTGATGTTTTTATTGCAATGCAATCTGACTTAAGACAATTTGTAAACAAGCAGCTCTTCGATTTGAACCACATGCCTTTGAGATGGCAATGCAGCATTTTATAACCAAGCTCTGGATTGACTCACCTTTTGATAATTAGGCTTTTTACAACTAGGCCCTGGGGACCAGCCCTTCAGACAAACCACTTCAAAAACAAGAAATTTTGCTTACACTAGCTTAGAGATAATTTTTTTGTTTTGTGATATAATTTTCTTTTGTTGTGAAAATAGTGAACATGGAGAATATTACTTTTTAAATACTATTCTACAAATTCTTATACATAATGTTTAAATTAATCAACTCTTTTAAAATGATATTTGAATGATATCATATCAAAGTTGTCATGTTCTTTTCTGACATTGCACCTATAATAACTGTAATTTCTTAGTTATCTAAATTTGCTTTTGCTCCTAGAAATTAGAAATGTCTCATATATTTATTCTAGGTTGTCTAAACTGTTAGTGTTGTGTTTCATACATAATAAGTGACCATAAATACTTTATAAAGATTAAATAGAGAATTCCCTTCTCTAATGCAGCTTAAAAAAAAAACTCTAGGTAAAGAAATACATGAGTAAAAAGATATTTTTAGAGAAAATACTAGTTCATCTTAAAAATAAGATATAATTATGTACTATTAATACTAATCTATTGCAGTTCTTAACCTGACAACAAAAAAACCATGACAAAAATTTATAAATACCTTTTTAAAGATTAAACAAGCAATCACCATAACAACTGGAAGCAATAACGTCTTTGTGTATCTCAATGGTGTCTGAAATACAGCAAATTTTTAAAATATTATTTAATTTTAACTAAACTCCACAATGAATGTCTTAATCATAAAAAACCCGATCAATAGAAATATATGAGTTTATCAACCTCTAGGTTCTAATAAAAGAACTAATATAATTATTATAAGAAAAAGTTATATGAAGCATTACACATTTTTAATGACAGAATCAGTACTATTAAATTTAGATATTTCTATAAATTTATTCCATTCTTTGGGTTTTCTGTTTTCTTTAATGACATAAATACTGTTTTAACTATTTGTTCACTGATTTCTGGGTCCTACATTACCATTTCCTGTGTTGGCAATATTTCATGTTTTCAATAGTGTGACTAAAACTGAAAAGGAAGGAAATGAGCCTAACTACCTATCAGTAACTAACCACTGAGAAAACATCAGCTAAATAACTCTTGTGACCTATTACTGTGGTAACTCACTGGCATTGAATTGATTCTGACTCAAAGTGACCCTCCATCAGGTTTTTAAGGCTATGGCCCTCTTGGGGGAAGAAATTGCTTAACTTTTCCCAAAAAAGTGGATGGTGAATTCAAACCACTGACCTTAGGCTATGAGACTGGCACATTGCATTCCTCTCCACAAGGGCTCCTTATTATTGTGTTGGGAGTTGGAAGACCCTGGATGAGATGGACTGACTCAGTGATTGGAGTAATGGGGGTTGGAGACAATGTAATTGGCTCCAGATTGAGCAAGGTTCTGAGCTGTTGTACACATGGTCACTATTACTCACATGTAACGCAATGGCACATAACAACAACTAAATTTTATTATTTTTTAAGAGCAAGAAGAAATCATAGTGACACCATAGTTAAGCATTTGGCTTCCAAGCAAAAGATCAAAATTTCCAACGCAACAAGAGAAAGCTGTGATAATCAATTTGGAATTCCTGGGGAATATTTCTACTGTTTTCTAGGGTCACCACGACCTAGAATCCCTCATCAGCCAAAACAATAATGGGTCATACAATGAGTTAAGCATTCACATGGATTACTTTACTTGGTAAATGTTGCTCACTCTAAATAAGATATCATTTACTCCTTTTACAGACGATCAAACAGCAGAGAAAAGTGATATAATCAACAAAGGCTGCAACAAAACAATAGACTTGAGCATAGTGGAGATCTTGAGTATGGTGCTGGATAGGATGGATAGGTGTTGTTCATAGGGTCAACATTTATCAACTGAACAGTATCTAACAACAACAACAAAAATAAAACATGATGGAAGAAACAAATTAGGTATTCACGTGTGAAATGTTTTAAGCTTCAAATTAAAAATAAAATTTAGGGACAAAAAAAGTCATTGGAAAAAAAATAGAAAATATTCATACCGCTCTTTCCATAAAGTCAAACTCAGGAGCACAGGTATACATGAGGGTATCAAAATCTGTATATCTTAAGATTCTGGCTGTTATTAAGTCACTCAAGCGAATCTAGAATAAAACAAAGTGAAATTAATTAAAATTATAAAAATAATTACAGTCAGCTATTTTGATGTAATAACAATACACTAAAGTCTATATAGTAAAAAGGTGTAAGACAGCTGTCTATTAAAGGTAAAAAACATACAATTAAGCAAATATTTTATTTATTGATCTGAATTGTGATAATAACTAAACAACAAAAGATAAAAACCAAGACAAATTAAAAGTAGAAAAAAGTAATAAAGTGAGTAAGTAAAGTAAATGATAAATTAGTTAACTAAACTCAGTACTTGCTGGGAAAAATTAGAATTTAGCTAATCAGGAATTTTATATCATATCCCACCACTCATCTGTCAATTTATCGTATTATGGTGCTCTTAAGTGTTGCTGTGAGGCCAGAAGTTATACCACTGGTATTTCAAATACCAGCAGGGCTACCAAGATGAAAATATTTCAACTCAAGTGCCAGAGGCAGGAATAGCCATCTACTTCTGAAATAAAGGGCTAGTAAAAGCCTTACAAAAAGCAGTGGAGCATTGCCTTATATAGCTGCACCAGAATAGAGAGTTCAAGATTACAACAACATGCATGAGCTAAATCATCATAAAAATATATTGCACATGAAAAATTAGGGAAATGTATATATAGTGGAAGCAGGAGTGGCATCCACGTCCTAAACAACATGTGTCTGGAAACTATGAACTTGTCGAAATGACGATAGCTATAGAAAGGCTTCAGGTCTTTTGTTCATAGGGTTGCTATGAGTCATGCTTGACTCGACAGCAATCAACAACCACAACAGAAGCTCTGGTGAAAAATAAGGCTCCAAGTTGGTGTTGTTTGGTGCCATCAAGTTGAGTACAATTCATAGTGACCCTATGAACAGCCAATCTGAATATTCTCCTATCCTGTGCCATCCTCACAATCTCTGACACACTCAAGCCCATTGCTACAGTCACTGTGTCATCCCACCTGGTTGAGGGTCTTCCTTTTTCTTGCTGCCCCTCCACCTTCCCAAACATGATGTCCCTCTCCAAGAAATAGCCTCTTCCAGTAACATGCTCAAATATGTGAGGCAAAGTTTCATCATCTTTGCCTCCAAGGAGCACACTGGCTGCACCTTCTCCAAGACACGTCTGCTTGTTCTTTTTGATAGTCCATGGTATATCCAGCCCTCTTCTCCAACATCACAGTTCAAAGATATTAATTCTTCTTCTGTTATCTTTATTCCCAATTGAGATATTAAAACGAACAAATGCAACACTGAGAATGCTTATTAATCGTGGTAAGAAATTGTAAGAAAACTACCTGACTAGGTGACTAGAAGAGAAACAAATTTATGCTCATACCAAGGAAAGATGAAAATTATAGACCTATATTATTAGTCACATTCAAGTAAAACTGCATTGAAGATAATTTTAAAAAGATTGAAGCAGTGACAGAGAACTGCTAGAAATTCAAGCTGGATTCAGAAAAGGCCATGAAACAAGGGATACTGTTTCTGACATCAGATGAATCTTGGCTGAAAGCAGAGATGACCAGAAAGTTGTTTACTTGCCTTTTACTGATTATGTAAAGGCATTCTACCGCACATATAGATCATAAGAAATTATGGACATATGGCGTTTCCAGGCACTTATTTATGCTCATGTAGAACCTGTACATAGACCAAAAATCAGATGTTTTAACAGAATAAGGGGGAAGAATATGATTTAATTTTAGGATCTGATTGTAGATCACAATAAATTGTGCCTAACACAGCGAAGAATGTGAATCCCAGAATACTTCACTGTGCTCACGTAAAGCCTATACTTAGACCAGAGAGTAGTCATCTGAACAGAGCAAGGAAACACTGCATGGTTCAAAATCAAGAAAGGTGTGAATCAGGAGTGTGTCCTTTCTCCACACCTCTTTCTCAATCGATATGCAGAAAAAATCATTTGGGAGGCTGGACTTTATGAAGAAGAATGTGGTTTCAGGGCTGTAGGAAGAGTCATCAACAACCTGCATTATGCAGATGACACAACCTTGCTTGCCAAAACTAAGAACTTGAAGCATTTGCTGCAGAAGATCAAAGACTGCAGTCTTCAATATAGATTGAAGCTCAACATCAAGAAAAAGATTCTTACCACCAAGTGAAATGGAAGGATCATGATAGATGGAGAAGAGACTGAGATTGTAAATAATTTCATCTTGTTCAGATCCACAATCAACAGTCTTGGCACCAGCAGTCAGGAAATCAAAAGATGAGTTGCACTGGAAAAGTCTGCTTTCAGGGACCACTCTAGAGGCCTAAGAATCATGTCATTCTAGAGACTAAAGTATGCCTGATACAAACCATGGTCTTCTCAATTAGGTGCTATGTATCTGAGAGCTGGCCAATGATTAAGGATGACCGAAGAAGAATCGATACCTTTGAGTTGTGGTGCTGTAGGAGAGTATTAGACTGCCAAGAGAACAAACAGGTTTTTCTGGGAGAGGATGAAACCAAGTTGCTCCTTGGTGACAAAGATTGTGAAGCTCCGTCCCACATACTTTGGTATGTTGCTAGAAGATATCAGTCCTTAGAGCATCATGCTTCAAATGGCAGAGGGCCAGCACAGGAGAGGAAGACCCTGAATGAGATGTTGATTGTATCAACGGGGTCAGGTGTGTCAGTGACAGAGAGATTGGCTCAAGATAGGGCAGAGTTCACAGCTATTGTTCTTAGGGTCGCCATGAGTTGTATTCCAATGGCACATAATAAAAATGTATATGAGATGGCACATAGTAAAAATGTGTATCAGTGTTACATTCTCCCAGAATATTTACTTAATCTGTATGCTAAACAAATAATCCAGGAGGATGGACTACATAAAGAACTATAATTGAGACTGAAGAAAGACTCATTAACAAGCTGCAGTTAACATACCTTGTTTACTGAAAAATAAGAGGACTGATACAGCTCAGTCTTTTAGTTTAGACTACACTTTAATAAAAAGAAAACAAAAATCCTCACAACTTTATTTGTTAAACATGAAAGTCATAATAATAAGTGAAGATACTGAGGTTATCAAGAATTTAATTTTACTTGGATTCAAAATCAATAAGGATGGAAGCCTCAGTGAAAAAAAAATCAAGCAATGTAATGCAATGGGCAACTCTGCTGCCAGTGACCTTTACAAAGAGCTGGAGAGCAAAGAGGACTAAGGTGTAACAGTCATGTTAGTTTCAATTGCCCCGTATACATGTGAAGGGTTGTTGTTATTCTTATGTGCTGTTGAGTCGCTTGCAACTCATAGTGACCCTATGTACAACATATCTTAACTCTGTTCAGTCCTGTGACAATCGCACTGTCTCTGAAACTCCCATCCCAATCACCCCAGTCACTGAATCAACCCACCTCATAGAGGGCCTTCCCCTCCTGCACTGTTCCTCCACCCTCCCAAGCATTATGTCCCTCTCCAAGGACCGGTCATCTCTCCTTACAACTTGTCCAAATTATTTTTAGACAGAGCCTCATAATCCTTGCCTCCAAAGAGGCACCCGGTTTGACCCTTTCCAGGATGAATCTGCTTGTTTTCCTCAATACTCTTCTCCAGCACCACAGCTCAAAGGCATCAGTTCTCCTTCTATCCTCCTTGGTCACTGTGCAACTCTCTGATGGATAACAAGTGATAGCAAAGACCATGGCCTGTACCAGACACACCTTAGTCTCCAGAGAGACACCATTGCTCTTCAGTACTTTGGAGAGGTCCCGAACAGCAGACTTTCCCATCGCAATATGCCTTTTAATTTCCTGGCTACTGGTACCAAGAATGTTGACTGAAGCCAAGCAAACTGAAGCTGTGAACAGTCTCAAGCTTTTCACTATCCATCCTGATGCTGCCAATTGGTCCAATGGTGAGAATCTTTGTCTTCTTGACATTGAGCCTCAATCCATATTGCAGGCTGCAGTCGTTGACCCTCTGCAGCAGGCGCTTCAGGTCCTCTTCAGTTTCAGCAAGTACGGTTGTGTCATCTGCATAATGCAGATTGTTAATAGATCTTCCACCAATCTTGACCCCACATTTCTCCTCATAGAGCCCAGCCTCCCAGATAATCTGTTCTGAATACAGGTTGAAAAGGTATGGAGATAGGACACATCCCTGGCGTACGCCCTTACCAATTTTGAACCATGCAGTGTTTCCTTGCTCTGTTCTGACAACTGCCTCCTGGTCCAGGTATAGGTTTTGCATTAGAATGATCAAGTGTTCTGGGATTTCCATTCTTCTCAGAGTCAGCCACAGTTTGTTATGATCCACACAGTCAAATGCCTTTGCATAGTCAATGAAACACAGATCATTGAAAAAGGAAGACTGAAGAATGAATGCCTTTGATTTGTGGTGCTGGTAAAAAATATCAAATATATCATTTGTCTATGGGACTAATAATAAGTTGCACTGCCAAGCCAAAGACGTTGTTGTTGTTAGGTGCTATTGAGTCAGCTATGACTCATAGAAACAGATCTGAACCCTGTCCAATTTTGTGCCGTCCTCACAATCTGTGACACATTCAAGTCCTTTGACACAATCACTGTGTGAGGGTTTTCCTTTCCTTCTATGTCACTCCACCTTGATGCAAGCATGATACTCCTCCTCCAAGGAACAGCCTCTCCTAGCAACATGCCCAAAGTATGTGAGATGACACCTTTTTTGTCACCTTTGCTTCCTAGGAGCACTCTGGCTGCATTGTCTCCAAGACTTACCTGTTTTAGCAGTCCATGGGAAATCCAATTCACTTCTTTGACACCAAAGTTCAAAGGTAGTAATTCTTTTTCTGTCATCCTTATTCATTGTCCAGCTCTCAGATGCATAAGAAGCGACTGAAAAGACCACAGCCTGAATAAGGTGCACCTTAGTCCCCAAACTGACATCATTGCTCCTCAGTAATTTAGAGAAATCCATGACTGTAGACTTTCTCAGTGTAATACATCCCCTGATCTCTTTTCTGGCTGACTGACTGGAAGAGATCCATATTTGCTCCTATTC